TGGGGGGTCTTGCAATGTACTCAAAAAAAGGGGGGGGGGAAGGGAGGCGTGACCTGACAATGATTGGAGACCACTGCCCTAGATCCTACGTTTTAGAAATCAAATGACATTTTGTAGTTACCCTCCCCCCCCCCCCCCCCCCCCGACTCACTTTATTTTTGTTGCTGAAGAAGAATGTCTAACCGCAACGTCACTTCTGTGGCTTGTAAGTGTGTAGTTTTTAATCTGACTCATTCCTGCTCCTTCTTAGGTTTACATTAAATTGCTGACGGTATTCTAGACCTGAAAACGAGGAACATTGGCTTGTAAACAGCATCCTCTCCTGAAAACTGGTATTTTGGACATGTAGAGGTCCATGTGTCGGTTCTGTGGCTAAGTCGATGCGAACGCTTCGCTTCGTAATGCCGGGATGCCAGGTTCGATCCCAGCTGCGGGCAATGCGCCCTGCGTTGGTTTCGATAGTGGTATCAAGAAAGCCGACCGTCCAGGAAGCAATGGCAAACTACTAGATGTAAATTGCCTAGAGAAACCACACAACAGCCAGGGGCTGTTAGGGTTGGTTCTGCAACGTCCTGTAAAGGATACGCAACTAACTTTTTAGAGGTCCATGGTGGTCTGAAAAGAACGGTGATTGGGGGAAGGATTTCAGTTTTCTGAAAGCGAGGCAGAGGCTGACCACCGCGAATGTGGATACAGGACATGGAAGTTGTAGTGGCTAGTAAAGCACACAGGATTGGAAAATTGGCTAGAGAAAGAAGACTTTCAGGCGTGTCCTGAAGAGAGCTACATTCTGCAAAGGACATGCAGACTGACTGACTGACTGATTGATTGAATGATTGGTTTATTCTAGACACGGAGGTTAGCAACAGTGAGCAGGATCTCTGATACGTTGATACCAAGGGCCGGTGGAATTATCAAAGAGTCGTACTGCAAAGTTGCCAGCAGTAGAGAGGTTCCCTGACTACACTTAGAGCGCAGTTCTTTGAACAAACACGGTAAGGATTGCAACGTTTGCCTCATGATATTTTGTTTGTCGTTAGGAGGAGCTCCAACATTTAAAAACTTTTTAATACAAGAATATTGCTTTGAAGCTGCAATCCTATAGCACTCATTTTTCTTGTAGTCTAATCTCTCAGTTGGTAAGCTGCTGTACATGTTTTCTATGACGTCTTTAACTCCGTTGTCGTTGCAAAACCAGTTGGACATTCGGTTCATATTTCTGTAAGATTCCAGTTGTGTTTTTAGACAAGGCAGGAAGTTGACAAATCTTTCTGTACAATCAGTTGCAGATTTTACCCCGTTGCAGTATTTCTGTGAATAGATCAGTAATACAGGAGTGTCAAGGAATGAATGAAATACAAATGAACACAGTTATTCTCAGTACAGAATCAATTTTCTCATATCTGGCATTTTAGATATATGATACAAGTAGCAGTAGAGGCGGCGGCGGTGGTGGTGGTGGTAGTAGTAGTAGTAGTAGTAGTAGTAGTAGTAGTAGTAGTAGTACTTGTAGTAGTAGCAGTAATAAAAGTAGTAGTAATGGTGGTACTAATAGCGGCAGTGGCAGTAGCAGCAGCAGCTGTAATAGTAGAGGTAGTACTAGTAGTGAGACCTGGGTTCAAATCCTCGGTAAGGCAGGAGACTTTTCTGTCTGGGCCCAAATAAAATCTTCACCTGCACAGTCGTGGCAACAGCACAAGCCATGCGGCCTTAAAACCTCGGTCTAAAAACCCCGCTGCCTACACCGCAAAACTGATATATAAAGGTAGTAATGAGAGTCGCCGTGGCGTGGTGGCTAGACGCTTGCGTGTGGATTGAAAGGTCGTGGGTTCGCTCCTAGCGACTCCAGACATTTTTTTTTAAAATGACCTTGACTCCTATGTCGACCCATCCTCGAGTGGGTACCGGGTGCAGTCTCGGGAAGTAAAGTCGGCTTGCTTGATTTGACCACATCACCCATTATATGCCGATTTGTCTATAAAAATTTAGGTCTAACCCTTTATGCCCTATACGCCAAAAGGCGTGTAAAAGGGACCTTAGTAGTCCTCCTTGTGGCAGTTGGTGGGGGGGGGGGGGTGGGGGGGGGCAGTTTTAACAGATAGCTGTGAAAACTGGGACATTTAATACACAAGACAATTTCATGAAACCTCACAGACGTGGTTTAAGAATCTTGAGAATATATTGGACAGCAAAAAAGAACAACCCAGATGTTCTGACGGAAGGCCCGAAGATAACACAAACAGAAAAAGACAGTCATCGCGTGTTGGTCTTGTCGTGTGAAGCAGGAAACTGGAACATGTTGTGACCACTGAAAAGATCTGTGGAATAAGAGACAGGGTAGGATAACAGAAAAAAGATTCTTGACAGCCTTGTGTTATGGTCATAGGAGCGTCAGCATACGAACAGATACATGATGAATAGTGGTGGTGGTTGTGTTGGTGGTGTTGGCAGCAGTAGTAGTTGTAGAATAAAAGTAGTAATAGGATTAAGATGGTGGCAGTAGTAGTGTTGGTGGTGATAGTAGTAAATGTAGTATTTGTTGTAATAGAAAGTAAAAAAAGTAGTTGTAGTATTGGTAGTGATAGTAGTAGTGACAGTAGTAGTATGAAAGTATTAGCAGTAAAGGTAGTAGTATAAGGGTGTAGCAGAAATTGTTGTTTAATGGTGATGGTGGTAGCAGTAGTAAAAGTAATAGTATAGAGGTGTAGTAGTTGTAGCTGACTTAGTGGTGGTGGTAGTAGTAGTAGTAGTATAGAGGTATAGTAGTTGTAGTTGACTTAGTGGTGGTAGTAGTAGTAGTAGTAGTATAGAGGTATAGTGGTTGTAGTTGACTTAGTGGTGGTAGTAGTAGTAGTAGTAGTAGTAGTAGTATAATGGTATAGTAGTTGTAGCTGACTTAGTGGTGGTGGTAGTAGTAGTAGTATAGAGGTGTAGTAGTAGAGGTATAGTAGTTTGTAGTAGTTGTAGTACTTAGTGGTGGTAGTTGTAGTAGTAGTAGTAGTATAGTATAGAGTATAGTAGTTGTAGTTGACTTAGTGGTGGTGGTAGTAGTAGTAGTATAGAGGTAGTAGTAGTTAGTAGTTTAGTGACTTAGTAGTAGTGGTAGTGGTAGTAGTAGTAGTAGTAGTAGTAGTATAATGGTATAGTAGTTGTAGCTGACTTAGTGGTGGTGGTAGTAGTAGTAGTATAGAGGTATAGTGGTTGTAGTTGACTTAGTGGTGGTAGTAGTAGTAGTAGTAGTAGTAGTATAATGGGTATAGTAGTTGTAGCTGACTTAGTGGTGGTGGTAGTAGTAGTAGTATAGAGGTATAGTAGTTGTAGTTGACTTAGTGGTGGTAGTAGTAGTAGTAGTAGTATAGAGGTATAGTAGTTGTAGTTGACTTAGTGGTGGTGGTAGTAGTAGTAGTAGTATAGAGGTATAGTAGTTGTAGTTGACTTAGTGGTAGTGGTAGTAGTATAGAGGTATAGTAGTTGTAGTTGACTTAGTGGTGGTGGTAGTAGTAGTAGTATAGAGGTATAGTAGTTGTAGTTGACTTAGTGGTAGTGGTAGTAGTAGTAGTATAGAGGTATAGTAGTTGTAGTTGACTTAGTGGTAGTGGTAGTAGTATAGAGGTATAGTAGTTGTAGTTGACTTAGTGGTAGTGGTAGTAGTATAGAGGTATAGTAGTTGTAGTTGACTTACTGGTGGTGGTAGTAGTATAGAGGTATAGTAGTTGTAGTTGACTTACTGGTGGTGGTAGTAGTATAGAGGTATAGTAGTGGTAGCTGACTTAGTGGTGGTGGTAGTAGTTGACTTACTGGTGGTGGTAGTAGTATAGAGGTATAGTAGTTGTAGTTGACTTACTGGTGGTGGTAGTAGTATAGAGGTATAGTAGTTGTAGTTGACTTACTGGTGGTGGTTGTAGTATAGAGGTATAGTAGTTGTAGTTGACTTAGTGGTAGTGGTAGTAGTAGTAGTATAGAGGTATAGTAGTTGTAGTTGACTTAGTGGTGGTGGTGGTGGTGGTAGAAGTAGTATCAGCAGCAGCAGTAGAAGTAGCAGTAGTAGTAGTATGAAAAATAATAGCAGTAAAAATAAAAGTAAAAGAAATAGTAGCAGGAGAAGTAGTAGTAGTAGTAGTAGTAGTAGTAGTAGTAGTAGTAGTAGTAGTAGTAGTAGTAGTATTAGTAGTAGTAGTAGTAGTAGTAGTAGTAGTAGTAGTAGTAGTAGTAGTAGTAGTAGTAGTAGTAGTAGTAGTGTTGGTGGAGGTAGTAGTAGTAGTAGCAGCAGTAGTACTGTAAAAATAATAATAGTAAAAGTAAAAGAAATAGTAGTAGTAGTAGTAGTAGTAGTAGTAGTAGTAGTAGTAGTAGTAGTAGTAGTAGTAGTAGTAGTAGTAGTAGTAGTAGTAGTAGTAGTAGTAGTAGTAGTAGTAGTAGTAGTAGTAGTAGTAGTAGTAGTAGAAGTAGTAGTGTTGGTGGAGGTAGTAGTAGTAGTAGCAGCAGTAGTACTGTAAAAATAATAATAGTAAAAGTAAAAGAAATAGTAGTAGTATTAGTAGTAGTAGTAGTAGTAGTAGTAGTAGTAGTAGTAGTAGTAGTAGTAGTAGTAGTAGTAGTAGTAGTAGTAGTAGTAGTAGTAGTAGTAGTAGTAGTAGTAGTAGTAGTAAATTCATTAGTTGTAAAAGAAAAAGTAGTAGCAGTGACGGCAATGGCGGTGGTGATAGTAATAATTACCTGAAATATCTGAACCACGTCAAGTCCTGAAATGTGTTTCCGTGTCTTTCTAACATCCCGCAGGTACGGCACGTGCGCCGCTCTACAATCTTCTGACACCAGGTTCAAGGTCTCAAAGACACCATTTTCACACCTGTAGCCGTCTGCAAACATTGTGATTATATTTTCTTGATTGAAGAGTATTTTCTGAACACGTCAGCATAACAAAAGCGAATTTACTGTCATTTCCTGGTGGTATAATCTTGTCACACCAGTGTTAGAGGCAATTTTTAGTAAATTTGAAGTTCCACCCTGGCTTTCGCCGGGGGCCTTAAATATAGCAGGGACTGAAATATGACCTAACAGCTGAACGGGGTTTCCGGGACCTCTCCGCAGGTAATCCTCATCCGCATGTTGGCACTTTGTGTCACCGGGTGTTTATCCCTTGTGTGATGGACTGGTGGGGTACAGACAGACAGACAGACAGACAGACAGACAGACAGACAGACAGACAGACACAGACAGACATACAGACAGACAGACGGACGGGCGGACAGACAGACAGACAGACAGACAGACAGACAGACAGACAGACAGACAGACAGACAGACAGACAGACAGACAGACAGACAGACAGACAGACGGACGGACGGACGGACGGACGGACGGACAGACAGACAGACAGACAGACAGACAGACAGACAGACAGCCAGACAGCCAGACAGACAGCCAGCCAGACAGACAGACAGACAGACAGACAGACAGACAGACAGACAGACAGACAGACAGACAGACAGACAGACAGACAGACAGACAGACAGACAGACAGACAGACAGACCATCAGTCCATCTTCTCCTGGTGCTCAATAACGGAAGCGTTAACAAAGAACGTGAAGAAGAAAAGGAAGAAGACTGTGCAACAGTCTCCAGGGTCCCCTCCGACTTCAGCAACAACTATAATCCTTACCACCTAGCTACTTGTATTACAGTCATACATGTTTTACAATTGCTGAGAGAGAACGAGTGTTTATTCGCACGTCTCTGGAATATCATTTCTCTTTGTTTGCCTCTGCCTCTTCTACCAGTAATCTTTCTAGTCGTCACGATTTTTTTCCAGTACTTTTTCTCTCATCACATGACAAAAGAACTTTGTTCATCATCATATATCGTTTCGCAGTCTCACACAATTACCGTTCCGTTGCTTTGATCGAAAAAAAAAAAAAACACATCACGTCAAGTTCAACCAGCCTACTGAAAGGGGGAGCTTCAGGTTATAATTGTGACTAGGTTATGTGCGCCACATACAATGGCTTAGCGTTGTACGTAACCAAAAGCCCTAAAAAGGACTCCTGCAATGTTAATGCGATCAAAGGAGACAGACCTAAATACCGCCCTGACCAGCGACGAACTCGTCTACTGGCGAGCCAGGGGTGCACCCGGTCGCCGATGATGACGAATCACGAATCATATCAATGCTTTTGTCTCGCCCCATCCGTATGGTTTAGGCGTCAATGTATTTATCCCTTTATCTAGCTTTCTTTACATCAATCTTTCCATTTGTTACCATAGTCTCCAGTTCATTTCTTCCTATAACATATCCGCAAAACACCGACTCTCTACCTCTAACATTTTATTCCTAATCAATTAAAAACTTTCAACTGTTTAAAATTAGAAAGAGTTTGGAGGCAGCTGAGGTATATAGTTCTTGAGAAGAAGGTTGCGAATACCTTAGACTGCCAGAATAATTAACAATGATTGCCTGGAAATGGCTCATGAAAGTAGAACATTAGTGTACAACAATTAGAAGGTGATAAACAAAGTTCTTTTGTCATGTGATGAGAAAAGGAGTACTGGAAAAAAAATCGTGACGACTAGAAAGATTACTGGTAGAAGAGGCAGAGGCAAACAAAGAGAAATGATGGTGGATGGCTTAAGACAGTGGCATGGAGGAATATCATCAGTGGAATTGATCCAGAACACTGGGAAACGAAATATGTGGAGATGCATGAAAGCCCATGCCAGCTGGCAAGGCACCTGATGATGGTGCTACGTTTTTAATTGTTTTCCTTTAGTTGTATGGTATTCTTTGCATTCTCTGTCAAATGCTTTTTTTTTTTTTTTTAACTTTGTCTTCGTATTGTCGATGAGTCATGTGCATATAACAACATAGGTTCTTTACTGCATTGTAACAATCTTGTTTTCATTGCATTTGACACCTTCTTATTAAAAACTATCTTTTGCATTTTGCTAAAAGCTAGATTTGTCATGATGAATACCAAAATTCAGATAAACAGCTAAATACAAGCAAGCTACTTACCACTAGATTTACAATAGCCATCACGAACTGCAAGACTTAATAAGACAATCAAACATAACGTCGACATATCTTCTAACAACTGAAACAAGTGTTACAACTTAAACAAATTCACTAACCAGAGACAGAACAAAATCTGTTCATGTAAACAAACTCTACAACAAATGTCAGTCGTATCTAATAAGGTGCTAAGTGATTGGGTAATCGGTTCATACTGACGCACGCTTTGCCATTACAAACAAACAGAAGGGTAAATGATGGCGAAATTGGTTCTGCGCGTAAATCCACACAGCACAACCTAACACGGGATTGGCGGTAGGACAGTGACTAAGACCCTTGTGTGTTCGCCTGAGACTCTTGGTTCTCCTCCACATCGTATATTTTTAGTCTTTAAAAAAAAAAAAAAAAGCTGCAAAAAGATGGGGAAGATAAAAGACAGAAAATGGTAAGTAAAACACAAGTCAGTCAGTCAAGAAAAACACAAAGTAAATGTCAGCTTTACGAAACCACTTAAGAAAAAGAGAGGACGTTGCGGCGATTAGCCTTCATCAGCAGAACAAAGACAAAAAGCAAAATACAACACACACACACACACACACACACACACACACACACACACACTTACAAGGACCACTCTAAATAGTATAATGACGAGAAATTAAGCAGGTATCGCTTTTACAGAGGAACTAGGAAAGCGAAAAAGTGAAAGCTGATTAGTTGAAGCAAGAAGCTGGATAAATGTTATCAGGAGTGTCAGATGAAAGGCAGAGACCACAGTGAGTATAAAGAAATTTTCCTGGAAGGTAATCAACGGATTTCAGGGATCCTAATTTATGCTTCCTTAGGTTAACAAAAAGTGTTTACTCTTTGAATCTCAAGCTGTTGTTACAAAATGAAAATAAATTTACCTATGTCTGGTTTTTCTTGCTCTTAACATTCATTGGCTGTAGACTCTGGGGGAAAGTTTTGGTTGTTCCTCCATCTCTGGACTCTGATCTTGTTTCAGAACTTCAGTTTTGCGTGTACACCCATTTTACAGAATTGGCTTATTTGTATGCAGACTATTGGTTTCTTGCCGCACAGGCAGATGCACTTTAACTTTGAAGGCAAAATCTTTGATTAGTTGCTTTTTCACGACAAGCTTTTTGCTGAGCACTTGGTATTTTCTCCCCTTTCCCCCTCTATAAATAGAGGGCACCGGAACTCATATGGGAAATGTCTTAGGAGTTAAAATAGTAACACTATGAGGTAGGAGGGTTAAAGTAAGAAACAGGGCCAGTTGATGAATGTCTTTCGGAGTTAAAATAGTAACATTATGAGGTAGGACCCTTAAAGTAAGAAATAGGGCCAGTTGGAGTTGAACATGTCCCTTAAGGAGCTAAAATGTCTTAGGAGTAAAAATAACATTATGAGGTAGGACCCTTAAAGGGGGCCAAATGTAATTGGAAGAGTAGGATGAAAGTAATTGGAAGTATTGTACACAGACTGGCCAGAAGCGGTAGTGACACGGTACAACCAAATAATGACTTAACTCACGAAGAGACTAAGACATTAATACTATCTAGTTTCAAAAAAAGGTGGCTGCATATATACACCAACATATCTCCTCAAGATTCGCTTCATCGCGGGTCTAGAGAGGGACAATGTATTATATGCAGACTAAGGATAGGGTTCAACAGACTTCGTCAACCTATGTTCAAACTTGTCGGTGTAGGAAACACGGATGCGTGCTACTGCAGCATGGCACCAGAAAATGCTGAGTATGTGCTCCAACACTGTCGACTGTATGCTGAAAACAGAGGCGAAACATGGGCCGTTCCAACCACACTGAAGACAAAAACGTATGGTACACGAGAAGATATGGACCACACGATAGCTTTCATAAAGTTGATATACGTTGATATACGTTTCAGACAGAAGGATCAAAAAGGAAGAAGAATGTAAATGTAACAAGTGGGCGGGGTAGACAAAGATGTAAAATGTAAATGTAACAAGTGGGCGGGGTAGACAAAGATGGGAAATGTAAATGTAACAAGTGGGCGGGGTAGACAAAGATGTAAAATGTAAATGTAACAAGTTGGCGGGGTAGACAAAGATGGGAAATGTAAATGTAACAAGTGGGCGGGGTAGACAAAGATGTAAAATGTAACAAGTGGGTGGGGTAGGCAAAGATGTGAAATGTAAATGTAACAAGTGGGCGGGGTAGACAAAGTTGTAAAATGTAAATGTAACAAGTGGGCGGGGTAGACAAAGATGTAAAATGTAAATGTAACAAGTGGGCGGGGTAGACAAAGATGTAAAATTGTAAATGTAACAAGTGGGCGGGGTAGACAAAGATGTAAAATGTAAATGTAACAAGTGGGCGAGGTAGACAAAGATGTGAAATGTAAATGTAACAAGTGGGCGGGGTAGACAAAGATGTAAAATGTAAATGTAACAAGTGGGTGGGGTAGACACAGATGTGAAATGTAAATGTAACAAGTGGGCGGGGTAGACAAAGATGTAAAATGTAAATGTAACAAGTGGGCGGGGTAGACAAAGATGTAAAATGTAAATGTAACAAGTGGGTGGGGTAGACAAAGATGTGAAATGTAAATGTAACAAGTGGGCGGGGTAGACAAAGATGTTAAATGTAAATGTAACAAGTGGGCGGGGTAGACAAAGATGTTAAATGTAAATGTAACAAGTGGGCGGGGTAGACAAAGATGTAAAATGTAAATGTAACAAGTGGGTGGGGTAGACAAAGATGTGAAATGTAAATGTAACAAGTGGGTGGGGTAGACAAAGATGTAAAATGTAAATGTAACAAGTGGGTGGGGTAGACAAAGATGTAAAATGTAAATGTAACAAGTGGGCGGGGTAGACAAAGATGTGAAATGTAAATGTAACAAGTGGGCGGGTAGACAAAGATGTAAAATGTAAATGTAACAAGTGGGCGGGTTAGAAAAAGATGTGAAATGTAAATGTAACAAGTAGGCGGGGTAGACAAAGATGTAAAATGTAAATGTAACAAGTGGGCGGGGTAGACAAAGATGTAAAATGTAAATGTAACAAGTGGGCGGGGTAGACAAAGATGTAAAATGTAAATCTGTGAGCTTGAACCAAACAATTCAACATGAATTTCTTGGTACTGAATGAATTAAACATCATCATCATCATGAAATTCTAATTTTACCTTTAAGCGACATGGACAGGAAGAGTGTAGCGATCCACTGCTCTATGGGCAGCAATGGCTATTGTCATTCCTTGTCGATGTAGTAGGTCTTTATTGTCATCAATCCATATTCACCTAAGGCTACCTCTTGCTTTCGTGTCAGATCGTTTCACATGTGACGCCCTGGCTGGTAGTTGTTCTTACGAGATGACCAAACCACTTGATCTATTTTTCAGTTACTTTGGCACGTGGCGTTATTCTCAGTCTGTTAATGAGGTCAGCAGTTCAAAGACACACGCACAAATCAACACATGTCCTAAAAAAACGCTGACACAACCAAGGGTGTAACACATACAAGAGAACCACTCAGACATGACTCATGAGTATAAAATACAAACATCCGCTGTTATTTGGTTCAAAATTTTATTCTGCATTTATTATTTATGTTTTTTTTTTTTTTAGAACGATTAAAACTGCTGGTCTGGCAGATGGTTTATTTACAGTTTAAGTACTTGGCCGCGGAAATCACAAACATTCAGTGCACACTGGTGCAGCACATGTTGAATGTGTGAGTGATAGCTGCAATCATGAAATAGTTTTTCTGTTGTAAACGAACTAAAGTCTTGGCTTCAGACGTCTGTACATAGTATCACAGTGTTCACAAAAATAAACAATCGTACACAGAAAACAATGGGAAGAAAGAACATACAAGAAATAAACAGAATAACAGCAAACGTAAACAACGGTTATAATTTCCTGACTGACTGTTGCCTGTTTTCTTTTTTAATTCATTTTTTTGTTGTTTTATCTGAAGGTTTAAAATCTCTGCGACCAAAAAAATCGAATCCTGGGTGCCATTCTCAGATACCCCATTAAACCCTGTAAGATCTTACAATTAGGACACCGTATCGGTTATGTGAAGGACCTGTCTGGTGTAACAAGAAATGAACATTTTCACGCCAATGGAGTATCGAACATATGAGGCTGGGCTTATAGTTTTGTAGACTCATTAGCACTCGATGGGTGATGCGGTCAGTATCACACCGGCCTCCTTCACTTCCCAGAACCATACATGTTAATGTTTAAAAAATTTATAATTTTGTTTAATGCATTTTCTCTTGGGTATTAAATTATAAATTTAACGGATCGATCGCGCACATTGTAAATTAATTTTGCCCCTGACATTATAAAATGACTTCCTTCAAAATGTGAAAAACTGCTTTTTTTAATCAGGGCTTTTTTTCTGGCTACCGTTTTTAACATCCTTTTTGAAAAGCCCAGCTCTGCATTTAACTGATTTTGTTACACAGAAGAGATTAAAAATAAAAACAAACTGAAGTATAACTTTAACTGTTATCAGTCTTCTGAAGGCAGCCCATAACTTGTGTTCAACGCTCTGTCAGTTCAGCCATATACCATTTCATTGCTTGTTGAAACACTACAGCGCTACAGATCAGGGGCGTATCCAGTCTAGAAAGTTAGGGGAAGCAGGCATATAAATAACTGGTCATCGTACTACAAAATGTTAACACCCAGGATGTCCTTTATCACGAAGTGGGCTATACCCCAATTTATTTTTAAATAAAGCACAAGGTAATAGATAGTGCCTCTAACCCCAGCTTAGACAATGCCATGAATAATCTCCAAAGAAACAACAGCTATTTGGACAAAGTATACTTATCAAAACTGTTTGATTGATAAATTACATTCATATACTTTAAAAGAATACACACTCTGGTACCGATTTAATATCCGTATATGTATCTCAAATTACCTCTCCTTATATGTGTTGCTCATTTTCACATGAGCTTGTAAGAATTCTAAAGAGAGTTCTCCAAGAAACCTTCACTATGACTTTCCGTAAAGCTGGTTCTTTTTTTTTTAAATTTTTTTATTGCTTTAGTCTCTGAAATTTTTGTTGATGTCCCACCAACGAATACATGAGCGTGTGCGGTGTTAGTCATTGATGCTTATACAAGTGTAAGTCAGTACCCTTTGCCCTGATATTGTTTACTAAAGCTGGCTGTCTAATTAAATCTTTTTTTTTCAAATCTAGTTATTAAATTAACTGCTGACTTTGAGAAAAAGGTGTCATTAAACTCCCTTCTGGCCGTGAGAAATTAAATTACCTTAATATAAACAAGGCATTTCTGAAACCTCATTTCATCTCATAAAGATGGCAAATGCCAGAGTAACAGATCATAAGAAACGATCTGGGAATATTTAAGTAATGAATGAACCTGTGGCTGGTTGTTTCTTATGGAAATTGTTAACCCTGTTCAGATACCCCCCCCCCCCCCCCCCCCCCCCCCCCCCAAAAAAAAAGATGTATCTTTAACTTTAAAATGGGAATTACAGATAGATAACAGAAAGCTTCTCCTCTTTGGTGCATGTCAAAAGTGGGGAGGGGGGGAGGAGAGAATCTTTAAACTGTTATTATTATGACCTCAGCATATTCGTGTACACCGTTATTTCTCGTGCTTAACCCTCTTGACATCCTTAACAAACAATATTGACAGGTAACAAGTCAGTTGCATGGTTATTGTCATTTCTATCACACTTGTAAGGTTTACTTTAAAGCTCCCTCGTATATTTAGTAATGAATTAAATGGATACTGTTATCGCATTTTTTTTTTCTGTTTTGGACTTTGTTAAAGTTACAACATGTATATACTTTGACCTTACAAACACGAAACAACGTTAAAAGACTAGCAGACTTGACTTTATGGTAGTGCCCAATCGTCCATAGAGTTCCTGGCCATCGCAGGATCCTTTTTGGCAGCGATGTCCATTTTTTCTCCTTGTAGGAACGGGTTGCCGTGATCAGGGACTTCGGACTGGAAATAATTAGACACGATTGTGTATACAGTCTATGAGATGGAAGATGTGAGTCTGTGTCTGCTGTCGTTGTTGTTGTTGTTGTTGTTGCTGTTGTAGTTGTTGTAGCTGTTATAAAGACACTAGTTTTTAAATAGGAACCATTGTGGTGTTTCGGCTGGACGCTCGCTTCCGGATCCCAAGGTCGTGGGTTCAAATTCAGAAGGTATTTGAGTTTACTTTTTTATTTTTACATCAACAATAGCTCATAGGTCGAAATCATAGGTAAAAATCCTGAGAAGTAAAAGCGGCCGGCGTGATACTGACTACATAACCCACAAAGTACCGATTGGTCTAAAAAATATATGTCTAGCCCTATATGCCCAATACGCCTGAAGGCGTGAAAAAGGTCCTTTAATTATACTTGTTTATGAATATTATAGTAAAGTGACTGGTTTATCAACGCAGTGGGCAAGAGTTCAATATTCATGTCACTGTTCTCAACTCTACCGTTTTATGTTCCTAGAATGGGTACCAAAGACTTTGTGGATAAAGAAGTCTGTGAAAAGAGGAAACGGCCGTAGAACTAGTCCATGTCTTTATCTGCCGTAGGATTGTTTTAATATTTAATTAATAATATTTAACACACACAAACACACACACACACACACACACACACACACACACACACACACACACACAAACAAAAAAACAAAATTATAAGAAAAATAACAAACATTAAATGAAGAGGTAAGGAAAAGATAGTGGCTTTGGGAAGGTGATACATACGGAAACTTGGCAAAACTGTAACTAGACGTGACTATCTTTCCACTGCATCAGAGTCAATGGTATACAAGAAGATGCCCCGCTTCCCTCTTCTCCAAACAAACTACACACACACTACACACACACACACACACACACACACTACAAGCACACACTACACACACACTACACAAGAGGAAAAGATAACTAGATAATTAGATGAAACCGATATAGAGGACAGGGGGCGAGCTGCATACGATGGTAAGGGGTAGAACTTGTGTTGGATGAGAGATGCATATTCCAGTGATGGATAAATGGCCGAAGACAAGGGTTTATAAATCAAAAGAGCTTACCCGCTTGACAATCATGTGAGGGGATTTCTTAGCAACGACTGTCAGCCTTTTCTGTGAAGTGGACATCAATGCACTGTTTTCCTGTGAACAGAGAATATGTTTCTCAGCATCAACAGATGTTTGCTTGCAAACTGATAGACAGAAATTATGTTTTATTAGCAGCAACAGATGTTTGATTGAAAACTGATTGAAAGAAATATCTAAACTATTTTGCTTTCATCGTTTCATCGTTATCATCATGATGTGCCATTCTCATAAGCGTAGGTGATCACTGAAGACTATAACGCAATCATACAAATCAAAGATCAGTTATTGTCTTGTCTAGCATACGCCGTTTGTCGGTTAAATATGAATGATATTTTCCTCAGGCATCTCTCCATCCTTAGAGCCGACACTGCCACCAGCACGATTTTCTCTGAACTTCCTCTAGTGGCCTACAGGCATGATCGTAACCTCAAGGACGTTCTAGTCAAGAGTAGGTTACGTCCCGCGTTTGAGCTCCACTTCGGCACGGTGTCTTGCCACAGACCTGTATGCAGAACCTGTCCATATGTGGTCCAGGTGTCTAGTCTAGAATTTCTTAACGCCATCTTCCACATACGTGAAGCATTCTATTCTACCAGCCACAATGTCATTTATGCCATCAACTGCAAGAGATGTGGCATGAAATACATTGGTGAAACAGGTCTAAGGCTGGCCGACAGGTTCAGACAACATCTTTTGGATGTGCAAAATGGTGCTCTGAAACCAGTACCGTTGCACTTCAATTCGCATGATCACCAAGGTGTCCTTGACATGGAGGTGACAGCCATTAAATCCAGCCATTCCAGTGACAGAGTCTGCAAGTCTCTTGAGAATCGCTTTATTTATACTATGGGGACTTTAACACCCCCCGGACTGAATTGCCAACACAGTTTTATTCAAACTCCTAGAGGATTGAACTGCCCTCGCAGTTTTATCTCCAACCCCCCAGTTATGGCCCCTGGTACTCCAGAGGGGGTTTTTATTCGCTCAGCCGACACGTGTAGTCATTCTGCTGAGAAACAACCGACCCGGCTGCCTCGAGATACCAGCTAAGTTATTTTGTGTTTCTGTGTAGTATTGTTTCATTTGTATGTGCTGATGAAGGCTCAATAGCTGCAACGTTCACGTTTTGTTTTTATTTGTTATATTGTGAAACTTGCTTATATACTTTTCGTTCGGGTTTATATCTTTTCTTGATATGGTTAAACATGAAGACTGATGTTAATAAGACCAAGACAAAACCCCCATCAGGAAAACAAAGAATGTCATCCAAACGAGCACCATTCGTCAATGATCTGACACATTTTAACATCGTCAGGTAGTAGACGACAAATAACCGCCGAATTTATTAAGGAAGTGAGATATACTGGGTTACGTATGCAGCAAAGAGCAAAGAATAAACATTCAAATATGTCTTCAATTAGGGAAAGTGATTTCGAGATGATTCATGAGACAGGTTTCTAAGCATCAGTGTTTACCAAATTCAACACCAAATGCATCTGCCATCATCTTCACAGTCGTAAATCAATCTTTTTGTATCTGTTCTTTGACTTTGGCAATGCGTTAACCAGTAGAAATAAAAATCGGTCGTCCCTGCCTAGCTTCATCTTTAATTGTCTGCACGACCATTTCGAATCGTGAATACCACATGAATATCTGCGTACCAGAAAAGTATTGACCAATAAACGTTTCTTATCAAGTCAACTGTCTCAAGAGCAATTTTATTTAACAAAAAAAAAAAAAAAAAAACTATAACATAGGACTCCTATAAAAACTATACTGAAAGGAAACTTTGAAGGCAGACGAGCAAGATGCAGACAACGGTAAAAGTTAAAGGATAGCCTCAATGCGAGTGAACACAGTATGAGAAAATGTACACCCAGGGCGAAAGATAGTTTTGAAAGCTACTGCAGTCAACACGTACCAAACTTTCACCATTACGTTCCAGTTTGTTCAGCTCATCAATGACCTTGTTGAGCGCCATCTGCTGGCTTCCACTCTGGGCCTTGGAAGACACCGTCTGACTCCCAGCTGGGCACGTGAACATGTGCTCTGTGTCGCAGGGACACTCCTGTTCCGACAGCAGCTTCTGGTTGTTGGAGGCCGAGTTTTCGAAGTTCTCAACACAGTTGTCTTTGGCTGGAGGAGAAAGAATGTCAGTTATGAAACCCAAAGATAATATAATAATCTAAGAACTCAACAGCGGCAGCTGTCCACAGCGTCGACAATTGTTTCGGCCCATTATCCTTCTAGACGATTTCAGAGAGTGGGCCGTCCTGGGCAATGAAGCCAGACCTCGGACATTTCCTGCTGTGCTTGCTGGACAATAGAACAAGACGTAATTGTTAATTTAATACCATGTATATATGAACAGAATAGGACAGGCCAAAATCACCTTTTACAACATGAAACAAATTTTGTGCAATAAATCCCTGGAGGTTTGGGAAAAATTCTCACAAGCTATATAGAGCCAATTAAAATGTACTGCAATGAATCATGGACAATTAATAAAAACGCCGAACAATATCTTGAGGCCGCGGAGATGTAGTTTTACAGAAGAATCTTTAGAATTCCCTGGACAGCTAAGAAGAGCAAACCAGATGCTTTGAAAGAGGCGAATGCTCGAAGATAACTTATCACAAACATCGGAAGGAGACAGTCATAATTTTGGGGGGCATGTTATAAGAAGAGGGAAACTGGAACAGGCTGTTACCAGTGGCTGCCCAAATAGTTCTCTCCTTTCTTCACAACTCTTGAAATATCAAGGTTGGATTTAATTGTGTAACTAACTAACTAGCTAACTAACTAGCTAAATAACTAACTAACTAACAGACACACAAACACACAGAAAAGACAAAAAAAAAATGATGGAAATAAATTGGTAGCTGTCGTAAATGCATTTGAACTTAATTGGCAGAGAGCTGGGTGATTCTGGCAGATAGCAAGCATGCAATTTATGCCCTAACTAGTTATATGAGATAGAGATTAATATCTTGTCATCCCTTTGTGAGATGCAATTTTTCGTTATTTGAAGCTCTACTCTGGCTCTTGCCAGGGGCCGCAGTATAGCCCGGCCATAAATATGGTCTAATGGCTTCTCCACGAGTGATCCTCATCCACATGGTGGCACATTGTGTCATCGAGTGTTTATCGCTTGTGTGATATCCTGGTGGGGTATAAGAAGATAAACAGATAGATAGAGAGAGAGAGAGAGAGAGAGAGAGAGAGAGAGAGATAAATAGACAGACAGACAGACAGACAGACAGACAGACAGACAGACAGACAGACAGACAGACAGACAGACAGACAGACAGACAGACAGACAGATAGACAGATAGACAGATAGACAGATAGATAGATAGACAGATAGATAGATAG